CGTCTCATCGCAGTTAACTGGCAAGGCTACTGACAATGGGAAAGGCTTCACCTGGGCTACAGGCGCAGGTTTTATGGCCTCTGCTGGGTCATATCGACTCTGCTGGTGTGGCGGGGTTCATGGAGGAGACTCTCGTAGCTGTCGATCGTCAGAAGACTTCGCCGTCGACGTTGGTATGCTGCATGTGTTCGAGTCTTACGTGTGTTCTGTCGACAACGAATCGCCATGCAAGTTGCTTCTGCCCAAGGCAATGCTGTATACCGGAAGCTTGCCGAGTGCCACCAGCCTCCTTCTGTTACCCGATCAGAGGTCATGTTCAGAGGCTGACCATGAGCTCCTGCGAGTAGACTTGACTGAGGTCTCTGACACCGGCTACGGCCCGTTCCTTAGTGGGAGCCTCACCACTGAGCAAATACGTAATCTCGAGCCTACTTCCTACAGAGTCTGTTATGTTTCTAAATTGTCATCCGGCGAGCTGATAGCCACCGAGCTACTATCGGATCTATCGGGCGAGCCTCGTCAACTAGTTGTATGCCCTCCATACTCCAATCCTGACCCGCTATCGAGTCTGCTCAATTGCTGCAAATGCCGAGCGGGTTACTACATGACTTCAGCCGGGGATGTGAATCGGCAGCGTTGTATGCTATGCACTGAAGGATACTGGTGTCCAGGGCATGGAGGGGGAAGGATCGGATGCCCCGCAGGCCGAGGGACTGCAGGTCCCGGTGCTGTCGACTCCGGACAGTGTGCATGCCTACCTGGAAGGTATATGGACTCGAATGGAACGTGTGACCAGTGCCCAGGCGGAACCCATAAGCCCCACTATGGGGATGACAACAGGTGCCCCTTCAGCTGCATGAATGACGGCAGTAGCAAGGAAGGCTCCGTCTCCCACTTGGACTGCTACTGCAAGGCCGGATTTAGACTCTCTTGTAACTCGCTAGGCTACATGACTTGTGCTAGCTGCGCTGGACAGGACTACGTGTGTCCGCTCAACTCCACCAGAACAGGCAGGGTCACGAAATGCCCACGAACGGCTTTTCTTGACCTAAGAGGTGCAGATTCCACGATACCTGCCAAGGACATTCAGCTGCTACGCAGGGCCACAATCAAAACACTTGGTTTGCCAGAAGCTGCTGATGTTGTAGTCGCTCTAATGGAGAGGCAGCCTACTGAAGAAATCGTGACACGTCGGCTCGCAACGGCGACGGGTACTCAGTCGGTCAAGCTGACCGTAACGGCAGATTTTGAGACTGTAGCGGGGTTGTCGACATCTGACGTCGCGAACGCGTTCGAGAGGGCATTCCTGGAAGCTGCAAGTGATCCTGATACGTCGATAGACGTCGATGAGGTTACTGTCACGTCTAGAGGAGCTGATGATGCAGAAATATATGCAGAAGCCGCTTCGCTGTATGAAAGACTATATGCCAGTAAGGCACTACTGGCCTCTCTCTCTCTGTGGGACATATTCTGGTTCTTTTTTTCTGCCTTAGGTGGAGCTAGATGCCCACCAGGAACCGCACCAGCCACTGAGACGCCAACCTCCCTCTCGGACTGCAAATGCTCAGCCGGCTACAAACTGCGATGCCCTACTTGCGTGAGTCAGGATCCTGCCCTGGGACCAGACTGCATTGCTTGTGGCCTCGGCCAATACAAAGCAATGTTGGGCAACCATTCCGAGTGTACTCCGTGCCCTGTGCCCTTCGAGACTACCAGAGAGCTTGGCAGTACACACGTACGGCTTTGTGTATGCCGTGAGGGGTGAGACCAGGGAAGGAACGCCCCAGTTTCTTTTATCCCGTTTCGTGGCAAGGTATTATAGACTTGCCGACGGCAGCTGTGGTCAGTGTCCCGAGGAGCACTATTGCAGTCATCATCCAACTGACCTGACAGCATCCCCTGTCCCAATACCCTGCCCTGTTCATCGAGTCACTATCGCCACCGGCAGCAGCAGACCATCACAGTGCGTCTGTGATCGAGCTTCGCATGGGTGATGGTCGAGAAGTAAGAGCCCATACATTAAGG